GACTGGATCCTCTCTTAGTTGGTCCCGGGGTGCGGTCCAGCTCCCGTTTTAAGTCCTCTTCTGTCGTCGTACCACTTGGATCCCTTCGTGGATCCGACATCTCCCGGGCTAGGGCTTGTTGGATTTTGATCCGGACAGCTGGAGTGGTCATCGCCGCAAAATCTACCTCTCTCAATTCATGCAATACCGCGGCAAACAGGGCGTAATCCTCGATGAACCGACTGTAGTAGTTCAAACTGCCCAAGAAGGATTGCATCGCCCGTAACGACTGCGGGAAGGACAAATCGGCTAACGAAGACAGGTCCTTAGGATTCGCCTCCAATCCTTCCCTGGAAACTCGATGGCCTAAGTAATCCACCTTGCGCATCCCCCAATAGCACTTTACCACACTGATAGAGAGATTCCACTTAGTACACGCATCCAGTAGGGATGTCACTCTTTCACACAGCTGATCCCACGATTCAGCCGGGATTAGAATGTCGTCGATGTTAGATCTGCGTCCTAACACAGACGGGGTCCCAGAATCCCCTGGCTCCCCCGCTTCGAATGGATCCACTTCCGTATGGCCTTCCCCGGATCCACCCGTTTCGGGCTCCGGTATTCGGGTGAACCCATAGAGGGCGTTATCGATCAGGCGTTGGTAGATCTGGGGTGCGTTCTTCAATCCAAACGGCATCCGGGTCCACTCGAACAGGCCAAATGGTGTGATGAATGCGGATATTGCGCGAGCTCGATCCGTCATAGTAACCACCCAGAAACCACTGGCCATGTCTAGAGAACAGTACCAGAGTACCTTATCCAGATCTTCCAACAGCTCATTGATCAGAGGCATCGGATACACCATCAATCGAGTCAGGCTGTTAACCAACCGGTAATCGATGCACAGACGTATATCCACCCCGTTCTTCTTGATGATGATTACCACCGGAGATGCCCACGGGGACGTTGAGAAGCCGATGATCTTGGCTTGCAGCAGGCCCTTAATCAGATCCGACCGTTTCTCTCGGAACTGAGGTGCCACCTTCCGCACCCTTTGAGCGATCGGTTTCGTGTCGCCGACATCGATGTCACATTTGACTCCGCGGGCGGCGGGCGGTAACGCATTACCTTTACCGATCAGCAGATGTCGGCTTTCCCAGATCTTCTGACGTAGACGATCCACTTCAGTGGGTTCGTTCGCCCCTGGATCCACTTGGATATCATCAATCGTGACCTCCTCTGTGGTCAGTGGTACCTCCGGGATCACCGCCATACCTTCTCCAAGATCTTCGGCGTGTAGATCCCCGCCTTCACGGTAGCAGACTTGTTCATCTTCAGTCTTTGTCAGATCCACCCTTGGATCCAGGCACCGCGACTCCCCTTCGACCGTCATCCCTTCTGTCTTCGTGAAATCGGGTATCCTGGTACTGGGGAAGCCACCTTTTGGATCGACTTGATCCTCTGGTGGGTTTACCCACGATGGTTCCTGCTTAGCTAGTGCGGCCACTCTCGACAAGGATCCAGACACTTTGCACCATGCAAAGTTAGGATCCACTCTGGGGTCAGCGGGATCTGGCGGTCCGGCTTCAGCCCTGTGCGATCCTTCATCCACCGACCCTGCGTTATCTAGGGGCCGACTCTGGGGATCATCCCCCGTCGTGGATCCAACCTCCACTGTTTGGATCTCAATCCGACGATCCCTCTGCAGGATCTTTCGCGGAGTTTCATATGAAGGCCGATCCACCAAGGGGCCAGTTGGCCCCGCCGGGAGCTCCACCTCTCCGAGAGATTCGATCTCGGTAGTCGCCTCGTACGCCAGATTCTGCCATTCTTTGTAACGGCGGGATCCCACTGACACATATCCAGGTCGCCTAGGGATACCTTCCTTCGCCAACCATCATCCGATCTCCTCATAATGGTCCAGCAATAGTCTCTTGTCGCTGACGTTCGTGACCTGGAGGTATTGTGATCGACCTGGTCCCTGGATTACGGTCGGCACCCATTTCTCGCCCCGAGTGACCCACAGCTTCTCATGTTCCACCCACTTTAGCCGGTCTGGCAGCTCCCAAGGTTCCCCGGGATCGATCCAGGTGGTCTCATCCGCCCTTATGATCCTCATCTTCGCTCCATACAACGGACGCCGTCCGCTGAGCTGGATCCGCATCTCGTCAGGGAAACAAAGTGTCCCATCCGCCAGATCCAACCTCACTCCGGCTGGCACCATGAAGTCCATCCCGAGGATGGCGTCTTGACCAGCGAGATCTCCGACCCAAATGTCAAACCAATACACCAAACAACCTGCCAGCGTGATCTTGATCCGCGCTCTCCCATTCGTACGGTACACGCCTT